CATATCCCCCAGAGCAATGACCCCGTGTGTGCACAGCCGGACATGAGCTCCCTGTGGCTTCGCCAGAGAAAAACTGGCTCAAGACCGTCAATGTTTAAAAAATAAATATGAATTTTGCCTCCAAGGCCAGATTTTGACCCTGCATCTCCAGGGTCTGGGACTCAGATTGGATCCTCTCCCCTGGGGAAAAAAAGCCCAAGTGGAGGGAAATATGTCATCTCCCATGGGATTCAGCCCTGCCCACTCACCCTGCTCACACAGGACTGTCTCTTACCAGGCCACACGGGACATGGCGTAGGTGATGTGTGGCTGGGGACAGCCCCCAAGAGAGGACGAGGCTGCAATGGTGTAGGCACCCATGTCCTCAAAAATCAGCCACTCCCCGACCTGCAGCTCGGGCAGCTCCAGGCCGTCAGCAATGCGATCCTCCTCGCGTCCCGGGGGGCCGCGGAGGCTGCTGCTGTGTGAAGGGTGCTCTGGGCTGGGTCTCTGCAGGGGAGAGATAAAGCAGCTGAAGGTCATGAGGATGTCCCAGCACCACAGCAACCTGTCTCATCTCCCCACAGTCCAGGAGCCCACAGGCTCTAGCTACAGCTCTCCTGGGACATTGTGGCCTCTGCTCTCCTCTGGCGTGGAGCCTGGAGCCAGCCATGATGCAAGGGAGGGCAGGTCAGCTGAGGGAATGCCGCCCGATATGAGGGACTCCTCAAGCCAGGCCAGAGCCTCACCTTGTGCAGCCGAGGTCTGGGGCAGGGGCCGTCGAACAGGAGGCAGCTGAAGGCACCGTAGATGCCATCGCTGAGGTGATACACAAGGGTCTTCTTGCTGCCAGACTCTTCCTCTGGAGGGGAGCAGGGAGAGGGCTCAGGGTGGCTCAGGCACACAGGTGGGTCAGTTCCACCACCCCACCTACCATCGGAGCCAGGCTGCTCTGCAGGAACCTCTTCCCTGGCAGTGATGCTGGCAGCGAAGGTGAAGGCGGAGGTGACGTAGTATCGCCCGGGCGTCGCAATGATCTCCACCCCGCAGCCGTCTGGGAAATACAAGTCCAAGGCAGAGTTTATCGCAGCAGCGATCTGGATGGGAAGAAGATGTTCCCCCTCAGTTAGTTCAGCCCCTCTGCAAGGAGACGGACGCAGAAAGATGCTCCAGCCACGCTCTCTGCCTGCCAAGTGCAGGCGTCGGGAGCCGTGTACCTCTTCGAACCGGGCTCTGGTGTCCTCGGTCCCGGGGACCCCCCCGCCGATGTCCAAGAGGTGCATCTGGTAGCCCAGCTCTGTGCCCATCTCAAAGGCCAGCTGTGCTGCAGCCACAGACTGAGCGAAGGCCTGGGGCTCCAGACCATGGCTCCCAAGGTGAAAGCTGTGGGCACAGTCCCTGTTTCAGCAGGGTTTGCCTGTCGCCAGAGAGCAGCGAGGGGACACAGCACTGGGATTATCACTGGTGGTGATAATCTGGTGGTGCTTCTTGCACGCCACTGCAAGCCAGACTGCCTGCTTGGCCCCACGGAGCCCTCCAGACCCTCTCTGAGGGCCAGGCCTGATCAACTTCCCCAGGTCCAGCCTCCACCTCACTCCCAGACAGAGCAATCGGCGCCTCCCTCGCACACCATTCAAGGCAAAGCTCCCTACAGACCCCTCCAACAGGGGCTGAACCCTCCTACGGAAAAAGGACCATGCGCTGTACCTGACGCCAACAACCTCTACAGCCTGCTCCTTCGCTGCCTCTAGCAGGAGCCGGCAGGACTTGAGCGTGGTCCCAAACGTCGCACTTGGATGGGCAGAGGGGATGGAGTCCGCGGTGACCCCCAACAGCAGCCTGCAGAGCAAAACCACACTGTGTTGAAGGGTCTTCAAGCCTTCTGTCCCCCCACAGCCGCCTCCCCAGCTCCTCCTCCAGCCCCCTACTCCCACGACGCTGCCAGACACTTACCCCGCTCCAGGGTGGCTCCTGGCCACCTTGCTCAGCTCCACTTCGTTGTCGAAGTTCAGCAGCCGCACACCGTGGCTCGCCGCGTATTTGATGTGGGCAACCTGCTTGCAGGGGCTGCTGTAGAAGATCTTGTCACCTGGGACCCCGATGCTCTGAACCCGCGCAATCTCCGCCTGCAGGGTAAGGGCACGCATGTGGGCAGGTCCTCGGGACCCGACCATCATCGGCCCCGGGGCCCCGCCAGCTTGCAGCACTGCAGAGGGCAAACAGCCAGCAGTGCAGCCTGGGCTTTTCCAGGGAAAACCTGCAAGAGCTCAAAGGGAGCACAGTGGACTTTATCCTGGCAGGGACAGGTTCTGGCAAGAAGTGAGACCGGAAGAAGAGAAAAAAAGTGGGTTTAGCAGGTGTGGGGTTTGGTGTTTTTGTCCAGCAGAGCTGGCCTGAGCTGTCCTGACTCTTTGCACTTTCTCCTCCTGGTAACGCATCCTATTTAATTATGTAGAAGTAAGGCTTAACTTCGGTTCCTTCCTGGAAATCCAACTGAGCAGAGGGGAGCAGGGAGCTTTAGGCTCAGCCTTAAAGCCACGAAGGGTTGGATGGCTGTGGCAGTGGCACCCCAGGGATGTGCCTTGCCACCAGTCAAGCCTGCCAGCCAGGACACCAGTTCCAGAGACAGGAATGTCAGTCAAAGGGAACAAGCCTGAATCACCAGAGAGGATGGGGATTTCTGGGCTGTATCCAGAGCGTTTTGACAGCAGAGGGAGACTCCTGCCCCTGCAAGTGTCATCTAGTGAGTGGACAGAAAGGTGAGTTCTCCCACAAATGCTCAAAGGATGCTCATCCCGAGCCACTCTCTCACGACTGAGGGTACCTTGTTGGTACAGGCAAAGCCTGCCTCCAGCTCAGCCAGCAGCCGAATCACTCCTTCGCTGCAGTTGCACTTAACGGGGAAGTAGGGCTTCACACGGGGCAAGGCCTTCAGGAAACGCAGATGTTTCTTCACAATGTCCCCAAGGTCTGCCACAAAGAAGGCTTGCTGGTCGCTCTAGGAGAAAGCTGCTGTGAGTAACTGTCGCCTCCCCACGACTGCCGCTGCCAAGGGGGTGCCGGCTGCGCCGGGGAGCAGCAGAGCCGCCCTTACCGCTTGGCACAGCTCCACCAGGAGGTTCTCCAGGAGGTCTCTGGTGGTGAAGCCTTCCTCCACCATCATGAAGTTGGATTCGTTCAAATACCCATTCATGGTCAAGGTGCGTCCAGTTTAAAGCCTCCTCAGGCAGGGTGTAGCTTCTCAGTGTGTAACACACTAGAAAAAGAAAGGGAATATTAGAGGCAGGGTCCAGAACCTCCACCAGTGTACGCCACCCAGCCTGCACCCCAAGGTGCTCCCCGTCCCTCTCACGGGCCGTTCACGGCAGCACTGCCCTGGGTGCAGCTCTCTGCTGCCCTTCTCCAAACCAGCGCCTCGGCTGTGGGCTAAAGCATCTTCTCCAGAGGGAGGAGACGCATTCCTCCGCCGCTCAGGGCTTTGTTTTCACACACAGCAGCCCTGTCTTCTTCAGCAGCAGTTCAGGCTCCAACACAGTCAACAACAAAACTAACCTCACCGCAAGGCAGATGGCCCGTGTACACCAGAACGTGTCCCTTCACATACCGGCACGTAGCTAGATTTGCTGTACGTTGCAGGGGTTGAAGTTCCCTTGTGGTTTCTAGATAGCTGAAGCCTCATGGATGTACCTTGCCAGGCCCATAAGCCCCATGAAAAGGGAAATATCTTTTAAAGAGGCCACTCGCTGACACCAGCCAGCCTGAGGATGGTCCGGATCTGTGCTGTGGTTCCACTTTCAGGTCTCTCCCATGACACAAGGTGTGGAACAAGGCAACAAATTAAGCTACATGGTGTTTACTGACTTGCACACTCAGCTTTAGCTTTAAGCTTACACATTTAGCTTTAACAGTCTCCTCCCGTGGATCCAGCCCATCCCATAATGCAGGGAGCCGATGACCTAGCGCAAGCTTGAAGGAAACGTTTCCACTCCAATAATCCAGGTCTAGCTCCAGGGCTTTTACATGAACACGGTCACTCTGATCTGAAGTGAGCGTGAGACAGAGGTTTCATTTCTCGGAGCTGCGCAGCACCTCCTCCTCTGCAGAGACCTACTTACATTTCAGACGGGCACTAGGAGAAAGATCAGGCTGACCCTGGGGCAGATGGGTGTTGTAATGCATTGAGCAAGCACCACTAGGGAACTCTAGAGATGGGGAATGGGGAGAAAAAATGGGGTTAGAAGCTCTTAGAGCTTCATACTTGAGAAGGGAGAACAAGTCCTCCAGCTTTACCCTTCACTCCCCAAAGACATCAGTAACCAGCACCCAGCCTGTCCTGGTTGGGCACAGAAATTACGAGCAGTTAAGTGGGTCATTCCTGCCAGCCCTCGGCAACGTGCCCTGAACACCCTCTCCTTACCGAGGTCCAACGCCTCGCTCCTGGGTGACTAGGAGTGCTGCCAGGGGGGGCCCCCGAAGAACGCCAAGCTCCTGCAGCACCCTGAGGCGTCGCTCTTGCTGGGGGTCTGAGGTCTCTGGGGAGAAGCGGGGCAAGGATTTAGCAAGGGAAAGGGGCACTGACAGCAGGATGCCCTCCACCCACCATTCCCAAAACTCAGCATCCGAAGGCATCCCTCACCAGCCCCCTCCTCGCTGCGCCAGGCAAGACAACTTCCCCAGGAGCCCTGCACGGTCCCTCCCCACTCCGTTACCTTAGAAAGCATTTAAACAGGTTATGCCCATGGGTCTCCCAAGAGAATGAAGTAGCCCCAGCAGCAGCTGTTCGTCCTGCTCCAGTTCCCTGCCTGCCTTGAGCCCCTGGGCCAGTTACCCCTGCAGAGGGTGGGGGGGCTCTGCACCCCTTGTATCCGGGCTCTGCCTCACAACTGTAGCCATGGCAACCAAACCCAGCCACCCCATTGGCTCAGCTGCCTCTGAGCACCCTTCATCCCTTTTGGGGAATGCTCACCACCCCCTCCCAAGGCTAGGGCTGCCCCCAGCAGACACCCCAGGTTCTCACCGAGTCCCTGCCGCGCCGGCAGCTCATCCCCAGCCCGACGGTGCAGAGCACTGCCAGCCTGCCTGCAGCCCGGCACTGGTGCAAAGGCACTCGTGGCTGCATGTGTATCGCGCATGCAGGGACCCTTGGGGAAGAATGCCAAAAATACCTCTAAAATACTGCTGCCAGGGAAACGAGGCTTTCTGCAGATTAAAGGCTGAGCAGCGCCTGTTTGGCTGGGATACCGGCTGGGGGGGGGGGGCAGGG